AATCTGAATATCCTACCACCTCAAGATGATTTGTACGCTGGAATGTAAGCATATAACTTTCAGTTTTCTTCAAATATCTCATAACTTTCTTAACTGCTTTCCAATCTCTTGTCCTGGATTAGACTGAAATTTGCTAAGGACACTTACTGCGTAGGCTATATCCGGTCTAGTGCAAACTTGAGCATACATCAAGCTCCCCACAGTACTAGCATATGGAATCATCTTCATAGATTCCCTTTCTAGCTCATTCCTTGGACATTGTGTTTTGTTAAATTTATCTCCTTTTATGATAGGTACATCACCAGGTGCACAATTTTGCTTATTAAACCTTTCTAGAACACGTCGTATGTAAGTTTTCTGAGAAAGTCCCAATAAGCCACAATTTCTATCACGATGTATTTCAATGCCAAGTACATAGGAAGCTTCTCCAAGATCTTTCATTTCAAAATTAGCTGACAATATTTTCTTTGTCTCATGAAGCAACCCTAAGTTACTGCTAACAAGCAGAATATCATCAACATATAGTACAAGAAAAATAAAATTTCTCCCACTGATTTTAAGATAAATGCATTGGTCAATAGTAATTTCAACAAAACCAAGAGAGGTTATAATCTCATCAAATTTCAAATACCACTGTCGAGATGCTTGCTTAAGTCCATACAATGATTTGTTTAACTTACACACCAAATTTTCTTTTCCTTCCACAACAAAACCTTCAGGTTGTTTCATGTAAACCAATTCAGAAAGATCTCCATTCAAAAATGCTGTCTTAACATCCATCTGATGAAGCTCTAAATTGTAGTATGCCACGAGAGCCATGATAATTCGAAAAGAATCTTTCGACGAAACAGGGGAGAAGGTTTCAAAATAATCAATGCCCTCTCGCTAAGTGAAACCTTTTGCAACCAATCTTGCTTTCTTTTGTTCAATATTTTTTTTTGAATCTAATTTACTTTTGAAAATCCACTTGTTATCTACAGTCTTAGCATCTGGAGGAAGTTCAACAAGATCCCAAACTTTATTCCTTTCCATGGAATTCATTTCATCTTCCATGGCAGCTATCCATTTATCTGCTTCAGGACTTGTCAATGCTTGGTTATAAGTTACAGGATCAATAATATGCCCAATATTAAAATCGCTCTCCAATAAATATGCAATATAATCATTGGGCAATGCAGATCTTCTTTCCCTTTGTGATCTCCTAACTTGTGGCTCAGGAACCGATTCAATCATTGTTTGAGGAATTGGAGATTCCTCCTCATTCCTCGGCTCTTCATTAATAACTTCAATTGGTTGAGAACCAACTCTTTCCTATATGACAGGAAGTGGAACAAC